ATTGTTTATATTAAAATATATATATTTTGCTTTTAAAAGGGCCACTTTTTACCTTTCTGTACAGATCTGTAAGTTTGAAGTAGAAGACGCGACAGGAAAGACATCCAAAGCGGAGGTAGGGGCTGAGGCCTGTGGGACTGGCCAGCAGGGAGTTGGCGTTCATACGTGGACGCTCAAAGTTTGCCACCCATGCCTGCAAAAAACATTATGTAGGATGACATTTTTAAAAGAACTGTCAGAAGCAGAGGCTTCAAAGAGATAAAACAATAATGAAGCTTATGCACTGTAGTAAACAATGCTGCAAATGCTAAAGTGACTACATTAATTAAGAACTTCATCAACATTCCAATAATAATAATAATGCGATTAAATAACTTTTGGCATTATTATGACTCATTTAAAAAGACCCAAATATGAAATCACGTGAATAAAAGTAACCAGTCTTACAGGAAACTACAGGAAATGGACATAATGTCTCATGTGTATGTGAATCATTTGTTAAAAGCAGCACGTTGATGCTTGTGTGAATAATAAAAGTGTTTCAACTGATTAAACACGACCAGATAATGATAATTAAACCAACTGCTCACAATAGTAAAACAGCAACATCAGGGATGTCATTAGTATCATAAAAGCTGGATGTAATGACAACATTCAATTTTTATTTTGTGTTTATGCAGAGCAGTAAATTTCACCTTTCTCTCCAGATGTCGCTCCAGTCTCATGAGGGCTTCCGTTTCTCCACCTGGCCAGACCGCTCCGGCGAGACCATCTGTCTCGAAACCTGTCACATAAACAGGGTTACCCCCCAAACTTCAACAGCGGGGCACGAGAGGTTCACCCACCCTGGGGCTAGTGCCATAAAGTGGGTTTTAGTTATCAAGCTTCCTTAAGTTTAAAATCAGATTTTACTAAGCCTGTAACAGCGTCAGATATTACCTTAAGTCAACCCGTGCTAACTCAGTGACAACATCAAATAAACCATACCTATTTTTCAACAAGGAAATAACTTAACAGGAATAAAAACAACAACAAAAAATCCCCAAAAAACCRAAATGGGTTTGAGGCAAAAGGAAAAGGGGAAGCTGTTTTTTTTTAAACACTATCACATAATTAAAACAAAACTTAACGAGCTGCTGTAGCCTTTTCTTCAGACATGTTTTAGTCTAATTCAACAATGGTTGTTTTTTAATGCATTTTGCATTGAATAAAGTTTTTTTAACCATTTGGTAGTAAAATTCTAAGATAATATGATGCTTCGTAATCAGTGGTGGGCTCAGTTCCCCTAAAGCACTAATAGGAGAATTTTTATTCATTCATGATTATTTCAAAAAACTGCAATAATCATGATGAAAATATTCCATTAGCTTTTTTTTTTTTTTGCATTTAAATTGATGTCTGGAAATCATCTAGAGACCCTCACTTGATGTTTTGTGACCCACAAAGAGGTCTCGAATCCAACTTTGGGAACCTCTACACGAGATGAAATATTAACAATATTCTGCACAAAGAAAATATTGTCTCATGTTGACTCTGAGGAATGTTCAGCTGGGTTTTTAGTGCTTTAGAATTAGCTTTTGCTAAATTTTTAAGTGTGCTAGTGGTTTAGAATTAGGGGACCTAAATATTAAAGTTAGAGCTTTGGGGTTAGTGCAACTAATTTTTTGATTAGTGCTGCCCACCACTGTTGGTAATAAAAAAGCAGTAAAGTGATTTAAATATTGAAATCACTTTATAAGAAGGATATGGATCAGTACAAACAGACATTATCTTACAGACTCATGGACTCAAAATATATTTATTTCAATGATAAAAACTGACAAGACCATGTTTTATAGTAATGAAACATTAGTTTCCAAAAACCTCCTTTTTGCTGGAAAATCCTCCCAAAAAAAATCTTTGGGAAAAGTTAAATTGGAATTTAATTTTAAAAGAAAGCAGGGAAGACAATCAATCAATCTATCACTGTTCACACGTTATTGTTTTATTTGATGTTTTTGCATTTTTTTAAAATTCTTTCTCAGGGAACTAGTTAGTGGGAAAGCAGAACCTGTACACGTGCAGATCACTTTTAAAAGCTTTACCTGACATGAACCAGGTTCTCGTCAACTGAAAACCTGAAATGAACCCAGTTTGCTTCAACTGAAAACCTGAAATGAACCAGGTTCGTGTCAACTGAAAACCTGAAATGAACCAGGTTCGTGTCAACTGAAAACCTGAAATGAACCAGGTTCGTGTCAACTGAAAACCTGACAGTTCATGTCAGGTTTCCAGTCTAATTTGCATACATTGGTGTGCAAATAGCGACACAATGAATCAGCTTTGTTTCAGTGAAAAACAAAAGAAAACCTTAAGTTACCTCATTAAAGCACACTTTGTGCTACAAGTGGTTTCTTATGTACAGGGTAAAGCACACGAACTGAAAAATAAAAGAAAATGCTCACCAAGCTCTTTCAGGGAAGGAACTCCAAACTTGTTGTCATGGTTCTCTTTGATGGGAACGATGCAGTTTTTAATGTCGTCAGATGTGATCGTCTCTGCTGGGAGCTCCACAGCATCCATTTGGTTGAGTAGCGCCAGGAAACGCTTGTATGTGAGGGGGGCCTGACCGCCATTCAGTTCAATTATCCTTTAAGGAGACAGAGACATTAAACAGAAGCCTCCACAAGCACACAATATACGAAACACAGTTTCACACAGGTTTATAACCATAAGACTTTAACGATTTACAGTAACTTACTTGTCCAGATCATAGAGTGTGTGTGAAGTCCGAACCATCACCTCTACTCCGGCCTCACTGGCAAGTTTTTGGATGGCAGCGTCACGCTCCTTACCAAACGGCTCGGAGTCATGTTCATAAGACAAACGTGTAATCTGCCATTCCTGGAAAAACAAAGGAGCAGACGCACAGCAAGTGACAAACATTTTTATTTATTGTTTTCTTTTTGGCTGCTCCCTTCTGAGGGGGTCGCCACAAGATTTGGCTATTATTTTAAAGCAGGTGTCCTTTCCTTTCTGATGCAACCTGGGCTCAAACCCACAGTTTCAGGATTACAGGACCATCACTGATCGTGTGTGTATAGTGTTATATTTTAGAGTTAGATATATCAGCTGCCTTTGTGTATTCATGTAAATGTGTAATGTAAAAAGCATTTTCTTAAATACTTTTTTTTTCCTTTTTGAAGCCCATCTAAAAAAAGACAGTATTTCCTATGTTCTACTCAGGCCCAAAGATTCAGCTTTGTTCTCATTTCTTCCTTCGTACCTTGAAAAGACGAGGGAAGACGTCTGTAGGCTGGCCTTTGATGACAAATAAACGGGAGTTGAGTTTGCGCAGACTTGCATCCAGGTCTTCTAAACACTGCAGCAAAAACCTGAGAGGACAGAGGGACCAAAAACTGAAACAAACCCACGACCTGCATCTCTTACAATTACACAAAATACAATCAAAGCTACAAAAGTTACAAAGAGAAATTGATCTTTTATTCTGAATCAACACTTCGGAATTGTGCATTTGACAGCCTCAAAGATTTCATCTAAATGAAATAAACCAAAAACAAACCAAAAAATAAAAACAAAAGCGACGAGCCTAACTTCAAGTTTTCAATAAAGGTTTGTTCAAAGTGTACCATACACCAATCAGCAGTTAGTATTTATTTTTTTAATCAGCTGTTTCAATTCATATCTTACATTGCGATTTAGTTTTACCTGAAATGTTATGATAGTTCAGAGATTACTAATTAAGAGCAATTATGTGTTAACAATGACCTTAAAAAAGGGGGAAGTTTGAGCAACAGGTGACAGTTTTTGAGTTTCAGGTACAGGCCACTCCTAACACGTGCGTCTGTCCTGAATTTACCCTGGCTACTAAGAATTAATTAGTACATGTTCAACAACTGTCCTTACTTTACCCGGGCTACTAAGAATTAAGTAGTTCAACAACATGAAATCACGTT